CCAGCCCCACGCCAGCATCCGCGGCCTCTGCACGACGCACGGGGCTTTGGCACGCTCTCCCATGCAAAATCGATGGGGAGATGCAGGGTTGAAACAGGTGACATAAATAAGGTTACTTCGCTGCCACGCGTAGCAAAATATTGTAGGAGAATTAAGTTTTGTCTAAGTCTCTTCCAAAAGCAATCCTGAAGCATTCCCACTGGTGCCTCTGAGATGTCAGGATTGTAAATTGGGCATGGACGGGCTACCCAGCTGTAAAAAAACCTAGCAGAGCTGGGATTGGAGTTGGAAAGAGTTGGGTCCTTATTTAATAGATGGTTCCTTATTTATACACACAGACACAGTCTGCTGGGGTATTTTCCTGGCCACGTTTGTGAAGGGCAGGGGTGGGGGATCACTGCGAGCGCAGCCGGTCTGGGGAAAACCCCCACACCCAGTGCCCAAAGCTGTAGCTCGCACACCCAGCGATTTGCTATGGGCAACCTGGAGATACGCGGAAGACACAAGAAGGTCGGTTCCCTTTCTGGTTATAGCGGCGGGGGGAATAAAGAAGCCACCAATAATCATTTGTTAGATAAATACCAGCCACTTACTGGAACAGGTTCATCTACCTGCACCTTGATTTACTCACTGTCGCAGGCCTGCCTCTCCTACCCGGATCTGTAAGGATTTTCACCTTCTGAAACGTTTCAATTCACCAGTCAGTGTTTTACCGGAGCAAGAAAGCCTGTTCCCAGCAGCATGTTTGCAGCCATTCAGACGTATCCCCAACACACGCCACGCACCAGCCTTTGGCACTCGGCACTTGCCAGCGTGGTCCCTTTCGCAGCTTCCCTAGGGATGAAAATCCTCACGTGCTGAATCTTTGTGCTTTCCCAGCCCTACCTTCTTCACCTTCGTGTCTGCAGCCGAGTACTGGCACATTTACAGAGCTAGGAAGAATTTCTCCATCAAAATAGTTACCAAACTACAACTGCTTGTGAAATCAAATAAATTACAAGTCCTTATACACTAAAAAAAGAAAGAAAAAAGGAGAAAAAAAAAAAAAGACCACTGTGATGTCTCATTTGCTTATGAAGGTACTTGCATACAGCTGAGATCTGAGCTTGCAAGGTGCAACCTGAATGGGAATTAAAGGCAGTCAGACAGGGCAGAAACAGTCCTTTAACGACTCGTGAGTAACCAGCTCCCTGTAAGTAGCGTCAGATCCTCACCGCTGGATTCGTGCATGCTTGACAGGATTTTCAGAGCATAAGAGACAATGAAACCAGCACCATTTAATCAGTCAGGATATACAATTACAAGGCAACGTAAAGATCCTCATTTGTCTCAGTTTTCAAAACCAGGATTTACCCCCCCAAGTGAACTGCCAGCTCAGTTCACATAAAGACTTTTAACCACATCTCCCAGCTCTGTCTAGAGCACTTTAGACTCTGAGCAGTGTGAATTTAAAGCAAGAAGAATAAACACTCCAAACCAGGGCTACACATTTGCGGTAGCAAGTCAGGCAGCGTCAGTGCTCTGCGGCAGGCAAGAATTATCAAAATGTACAGAAATGCCAGATGTCACAGGGTGAGACTATAGTAAAGCCTATAAATATTCAGAATTATTTTTCCAGCATACATTTGTGATTCATAAAATGTGGAACTATAATGAATTTCAAATGCCACGTAAATGTTCAAATACAAGATTTTCTCTGCGCTTTCATAATGTTTTAACAATATATGTCTGGTTTGCATAAAGTTTGCATTTAACTTGCAAAGGTGTGACTAAAACCCCAGTCTTTTAACCAGAATTACTGAATAAAAAGTAACGATTGCATTATCAGCTTTTTTTCAAGTGAGAATTTATCTTCCTGTAGTGCATGCCACGGGTGCTGTAAAAGGCTGCAGTAGGTCAGAACTGCTCTAGCAAGGGCAAGCGGGCAGTTAACTTTCTCTCTGAACAATTTTCAGAGAGAGTAACAAAAGCTTTTGAATGAGGAACCCCTCCGGGGTGATAAACTTCATCTGACAAGCGCCTCTGTGAAAGCAGTGCAAAAAAACCCTGCCCGTTCCCCACCATTTGAAATGTGGAAAGAGTCAGTAAGGGGCTTTTTTAAAGGCCGACCTTTTCCATCAGACACAGGCGAGGTTTGTTAGAAGGCAGACCTGGGATCCCGCAGCATCGCTCCTGGGTCAGCGGAGCTCGAGAGTCTCTTCCCAAACCCCTTCCGTGACTACACCACGTGCACGTGTCCGTGCAGCTGCAACTCCTACCGCCGACAGACCCGTCACTTCCCCACTCCAGCTACGGTTTGGAAGATAAACCTTTTGTTATGACTAACTCCACCTCTCCTCCCTTTCCCAAATCACAGCATTTGAATAACTGTCTTAACCAAGACTGGAAAACATTTCAGGACAAACTAATTTAAGGGTTTAGTCCTAAAAGATAATGAACATCATCAGTTCTCGTTGTTTTCATGTGTAAATAGGTACTTTTAAGCCACCTCTCTAGTGTAACCTCCAGATACCATTAATTTATTAAAACACATTGTGAAGTAGCACTATTAAGAAGGTTGAAGAAAATGCTACTTTTTAAGATTAGACCTTAAATTCAAATAAAACTAGTGAAAAGTCAAACAGATGTAATAATTCTCAAGTGGGCTTATATTTTTCTACGTTGCTTTTGTTTTTCGTCTTCTTGGAGATGCTTCATATACTTTACAACAAGTCGTCCCAGAACAGGACAGGTTCTTGAAAAGGCATATACGCAAACATTATTTAGGACATCGAGAAATACCGTCAGTCTTTGTAGTGCATTTAGAAAAAAAGCTCTTTGGAACATTAACTATAACACTACAAAAGTACAGTATAATCACAATCAGCGTTCTGATATTTGTTAACGAGAATTTTGATTTACAAATACATCTCCTACACATTGTGTTCATTTGATCTAAATTACATTGTGTAAATTAATATTTTAGGTCTGCTACTAACTACTACAGTTGTAACTGAGCACACCGTGGATGGACAACCTTAATGATTCCTAGTTTTTACTTTCATTAAAAAATAATCCAGCCACCAAGCCAGGAAACATGAAATTAATTACTATTCTACCCTCAATTGGTTTAGTGGTGGACTTGGCAGTATTAGGTTAATGGTTGGACTGGATGATCTTAAAGGGCTTTTCCAACCTAAACAATTCCGTGATTCTACGACAACAATGCACAGTACTTGGAAAAGTACAGAAACATGACCTAAACTTCAAAACCACAGAAAAATGTGTCAAAACAGGCTGGCAAAAACTTCATTATGTATTAAGCACTGAGCAGCATTAAATCCGAGCATAGAGTGGAAGAATCCACGCGCAGAAGTACAAGAACCGTGTAAGCTAAGGGACCGAAAAGCACGGCATGAGGACACGGTGTGAGATGGGCTGCCATGTTTGGAATTAAACTCGACGTGAACAGAGGTGTTAAAGAAACAAACCCAAATGATTACTTACAAAATGGTTGTGGTTTTTTTTTTTCCTTCCACATGTATACATTTAATGAACATATAATCTCCACTCTTCATTTTTGCCAAAACAAAACAAAGAACAGTGCTTAAACCATTTTCTCTGAAATCTAGTTTGGTTATAGAATATGTAAGTGTTTCAGTATTTTCCCTCAGCACTTTATCATCTCTCTCATAGACAGGATAACGTTAAGCAAAAGCTCTACAAAGTTAACAAATGTAGAGTCTGCCTTCACTGTCAGAAACGCTTATGAAAAATATTACCGAAAAGAAAATTTCAAGAGCACTTTACTATACAGAATGAGTGGCATAGATTTATGGGGCTTATTTTAAAGAGACAGCCTTTATTTAGAGTACTTTGTTTTGTAGATCTTATAAAGTAAACATTACAATACTTTTCAGAAATATATTAAAATTGTTTAAATTTAAAAGGCAATTCCACTGGCTGATGGACATTTCCAAAGGAAAAAAAAAATTAACAGAAACAGGCAGCTCAGCTAAAACTAGATTCTAAACACTCTGTTTTGTCATTCCATGCCCTTTAAAAAAAGCAAACAAACAAACAAACAAACAAAAAAGACATTTTTCACCCAGACTTCCTTTACAGCAATAAGGCAACTCCAGGAGATCTGAATGAGCTCCTTGGAGATTACAGATACTGTAACTGGCTGCTCCTCATGCTTTATAACACCCAAAGGTGCAACTATCCATTAATCACAAACACATTTGTGCATTAAAATATAAAACTTAAATTACAGATTTTAAAAATATTACTAATAGACTTCCCTATCATAAAATGTTTTACATTTACAGTACTCGAACTATTTCAGTTCTGGGTAGATGAGGTTTAAGCAATTTACCACTGCAAGAGTTAGCCTCTGGAGCTCACAAACAGCACAACCCAACCAGGGGCAGCAATAGTCGGTAGAGTCATAGTGCAAATCAAAATAAGGAGTGCAGAATTGCACTAGTTGTTTACATTTCTAAAATATAAATGAACAAGACAAGATCTTATATTGTACATGCAATAAATTATAGTAAGCGTATGACAATGGGGCTGGGGCATTCTACAATTTTAGCTGGTGTACCAGAGTTGAAGCTTGTGAAAGATAGGACTCGGTAAACAAAACATTTCAAAGCTCTGTTGTCATAGCACTTGAACTATGCTTTCATGCTTTGTACTTCTGCTTCCCCGTCTCGCTGATCACACAGATATGCTGAAACAAAATAAAAAGTTCCTGTTAGAAAAGCAATGTAAGAAACCAATGTTTTACATTAGGTATTCAATAATGCACTTCTGAAAAAAATACAAGCATGCTCTACACGTTTCAGTACAAAAGAATCTTGTGAGACTGTTTATGCAGAACAACTTAAGCCTTTTTTTTTCCCCTAAAAATCTCAACATTGCCTTCTTTCTCCTCCCTCTGATTATCCCACCCAGTCCTGATATAAGGTTGGCGAGACCCAGATGAAGAAGTGATGACTTAGAATAAAAAGTGAACCCTTTTTGACTTCCAAGGTCTCTCTTCTCTAACTCTTACATAACTAAGCAAATGCATTTATTTGTTGTAGACATCTGGTAAGATAAGAAACTTCACGCAAACGTCACATTATTTCAAAGCTGACAGGAGATGTGTAGCCTCCATTCTGCATGTAGCAAAATAAATTTTAGTTTTTGTAAGAGCTCCAAAATGCTGTCCGGCTGCTCTAGGGTTTGCTCTCATCGTTGCATCACCAGCGGAACAGATTTGCACACGAGGCATGATTTACAGAGGAGGGCGAGTGATGTGAGGAGACTTCCCTTCCTTCCTCCTCCCTAGTTTTAAATGGACAAAAACATACGGGAAAAATTACTTACGTTCAAATCTCTAAAGTATTCATTGTAATCTAGGGCGTATCCCACAACAAATTTGTCTGGCACTTCAAATCCAACAACTGAAAAAGACCATAAGTCACCAGCATGTTAGAAAAGAACTTCCTAGAGTTCACTAGACCTTTTTACAGAGACGATCTGGAATTTTATAGATATGTATGCATCCTAACTCACTTTATTTCTTCCACTCAAGTATCCTCAGATTAATATTCGAGCTATTTTAAAATTTTAACTTACTTTGCTGATTTATTTCATCAACTAAAGCAAAATTAAATAGATGTATTTATTGGTTCCCACGCAGCAGCATGGTGCTAGCATGCAGTCTGCAAGAAATGAATGGAAGCACTTAAATCTACAGACACGGTATTATTATCAGAACGTAAAAGTCCTTGAAAATTTCCTGCAACTTTGTAAATACGTAGAAAAAGAGCCAATACTTCCCAGCCCTTCCTGCATGCTTGACGTGCCAGTGCAGAAGCAGAGGAATTGCTGAGCACGGCACAAGCCAGCCTGACAGCATCATTCCAAAGGCAGCACCTCGGGGAGCTGGACCTGCGCCTCGGGTAGGGCTGCAGGAAGGCCACCCAAAGGTGTAACGCGTAGGCAGCTTCGGTCGTCAGCTCCTTCAAAACTATGGGTGTGCAAGTCCAGTAAGACTCTCCGTGAGGGGCCGGGAGAGTGAGCACAGAATAATGCGAGTATCAGAACCACAGTTATTGCAGGGAAACCAACCCTTCGCCTTCTGAGTAAGTGCCCAGATGAACTCCGCTCTCGTGGCTCGCACGCCACGACCTGATACGCAGGAAGCCGCTAAGAGCGCGGGACAGCCCTGCTAAAGCACATCTGACATCCTGATCCCTTGGTACAGAAACAGCGGAGAGCAAAGGGCGCTCTGCTCTTTATGGAGTCGCTTGCAGGTTTCAGAA